CGCGATGTCCGGGTGAGCGTCGGTATAAGTCGGAGTTGGAGTAGAAGCCTGCAGTGAAATATGCGCTTCGATGGACTTCCCGTGGTGTCGGATTTAGTTGCTGCGCAGGAGTCGGTGGAGTGTCGTCGTCGATTAAGGCTGGTTCAGTTGAAGGACCCGCGATTGGTGCCGATGTTGTCAGAGGTCAACTGGTGATCCCCGATTGATCCTAGGGAAGGGTTACAGGCATGTTGGCCTGGGGGGTTATGGGCGCACTGACCCGCTACTTAACAAGCCCTTTATCCCAATGGTCTAGTGGTTGGGATTCTGACATGGTATCAGAGCGAAGGTCTCGGGTTCGAATCTCAGTGTGTGCACTTCGGGCATCCCAGTGCGGGGGGGTGTCAGAGGTCCACTGGTGATCCCCGATTGATCCTAGGGAAGGGTTACAGGCATGTTGGCCTGGGGGGTTATGGGGGCACTGACCCGCTACTTAACAAGCCCTTTTATCCCAATGGTCTAGTGGTTGGGATTCTGACAGATGTTGTCTCTGCTGCTGCTGGTGTTGTCTCTGCTGCTGCCGATGTTGTCTCTGCTGCCGCCGGTGTTGTCTCTGCTGCTGCCGATGTTGTCTCTGCTGCTGCCGAGTGTTGAATCGTTGCTAATGCTCTTGTTCGTTCTGCCTCAGGAATAGTGTGCGATTACCAGAAGCCTTCGGGGCTGAAGTCAGGATCAAGATCCGGTGGGTGCGTCTAGGAGGTGAAGGTGACGATTCCGTCGCTGTCGGCGGTGCCTAAATCTGGAACGAAGTCAAGGACGAAGACGTTATTCTTCAGGACCGCCTTCCCGATGTAAAGTCCGCCTCTCCCGTGGTACAGCTTGAACTCCTGAGTGGTGCTGTCTGCTTCGAGATGGATGCCTTTCGTCATCAGCTGGCTGACTCTCAGTAAGTTGTAGCCGAGTCCTTCTGCTATTAAAACCTTCGACATCTGTAGTATAACGTTCGTTTCCCGTGACTGAAGTTGAACCACGCCTTGTCGTCGTGTGCGCAGGTTCTGGTTGTTGGCGACGGTGATGACAACTTCGCGTTGAAGTTGGTATTCTCGTTGAACGAAACGACCCGAAGAGCACATATGCTGTCCGCAGCAACTGTCCAAGAACCAAGTGTCTTTCACGGACGGCTCGCTTTGAGCGATGGCTGCATACGTCGGGTTCGGTTGAAGTGACTCGCGGCGGGGGGTACTGTTGTCGAGTTGCTCTTCCGGTGAGTAGTGCGGTGGTGACTCGGTGATGCAGGAGTCAGTCAATCTTGCCATGCAGCTGACGATGTTTCTTGCTCCTTGTGCAGATTGTGTTGGCGATGCTGTTGAAGACTGCGGCTGGCTTGTGGGGTGCGCCTGTGTGGACGCTACCTGACTGCTTGAAGGGCGAAGTTGACGTTGTGGTGACGTTGATTGCTGTCGATTCGGGCAGTGTGTGCGAGGGTGCCCTGAAGTCTTGCAGAGATGACATAATGGAGGTAAGGGTTTTGGTTGATGCCGGTTGTTGTTGTTGTTGTAGCGCCGTTGAGTGTGGAATGCAAATTCGGGTACTGATTTTTTCTTGTGCCGCTCCTCTTGCAGGTCCATGTCTTGCTGCTCAGCGTGAATTTCGGCACAGAGTGCTGCTTCGGAGATTTTCCCGTGGGCTCGGAGGATGGCTCGAGTGGAGCGCCATTGAGGACCGAGGCCGCCGATGATGACTGTCACGAAGGCGTCTTCAGATATTGAGCCTCCGCATCGAAGGAGTTTGTCGCGCAATTCGCGACAGCGGCTAATATACGCCATTCCCTTTTCGCCAGGCTTCATTTCTACTGTTGTCAGCTGTGCCATTAATCGACTCTGGTTGACGCTGTCTGTTGCTTGATACGAGTTCTTCAAGTGGTTGTACGCAAGCTCGGCGGAGTTGCCGTATCCCCGATAAGACCGGATGTTCTGCTGCTGGTTCGGTGTGATGTTGCGCAGTAGAATTGTGTACGCCATCATGGACTGATATGTGTATTGTTGCTTGTCATGTTGCGTCCCGTGTGTTGGGTATGGCAGGGACCCGTCGAAGAATCCAAGGATCTGCGAGCCTTCCATCATCAGTTCGAATTCGAAGGACCAGGTAAAGATGTCCTTTCCGTCGAATGGTCTTGACGTCTGCAACTTTAAGACGTGCGCGAATTGTGACTGAACTTGAAGTGCATCCAATGTCTTCTCTTGCTCAGGTGAAGGCTGCTGGCGCGGCATGAAGCTGACGGAACCGCGCTGGGGTTCGTACGGGGCGAAGGTAGGTTGCTGTTGCTGATTTCCTCGCGCGTAGGATGAACCGTCAAGGCTCATCGGTGTCACGTCGTTGTTGTTGTTGCTGTTGTTTGACTGCGCAGGTGCCCCTTGCTGGTGTTGTTCGTAAAAGGACATGAAGGAGAAGAACTTCTCCATCATACTTGGGTCGAAGCCCGCGGCTTGATTTGCGGGAGTTTCAGTAGACCCGGCTGCTGGTCTTGTTGCCGTGCCCTCCTCTATCTGTAGGCCAGAGGCAGGAGGTGGAGTAGGAGTAGTGCCGGGAGAGTCGTTAGAGGAGCTTCTCTCCTTCTGTGTTGCCATACCTTCTAATGTTGTAGGTGTCTTTGAAATAGTTGAGTTTGCCCTGATAGCTCTCATACCATGTTGGGCTGAGAAAAAGCCCTTAGAATCTTTGCAGGACTAAACTTTAGGTAGGAACAATGTAATAGCGGAAGCGTATAATGATAAGTCTTTGAACCACCTTGCGCTAGTATGTGAGGGCAAAGTAGATTAATTAAAACAAGGGGATACAAGGTTTTATAAGAGTACAAGGAATATGAAAAGATGCAACTAATAACTGTTTTACTGTTTGCTGTTGCGGTTCGGTACAGTGACGACTCAGGCAACTGCTCAATAGCGAGTCAGTTGTTTGTCATTGCTGTCGCGCTGTACTTGTCAGGTCAAAGGTCGCTGACCTTTGACTTTCGCGTAACCTCCAGCGGTTTCTTCACCTCTCAACCTCCAAGTCGCCGATGCTTCGTTGTGCTTCGCCTCGTTTACGACTTAGTGTTTCGACTGTCAGAAGCCTAAGTTGACTTAGGACTTGGGTTGAGGGTAGAACGAGAGTTACGAGAGGAAGGGGTCGAGAGATTAGCCAAAAGAGATTGTTCACTATAGAGCGAGCAGTACAAATAGGCAAGAATCAAGAAAGGTGCACCACCAAACAAGAACATAGGGCTACACTAAGTCTACACTACAGGCAGTTTTAGTAATGTATACAAGTACATTCTGACACACCCCCTAACTGCCTGCAGTGAAGAACCATGTGCAGAAACACCCCCGGAAGGGGTACACCAAGCGCAGCGGAAGACGGCAGAGAGGAATGCGAGGAGGAGGAGACGAGAGGGAGAGGGGAGAGGAGAGGAATGAGGAGAGGAGGTGGGGGAGCCACGCGGCGAGCCCCTCTTACGAACCCCCGTTTTACGAAGGGGGGGGATGAGAGAGGGATGAGGAGAGGAGGTGGGGGAGCCACGCGGCGAGCCCCTCTTACGAACCCCCTGTTTACAAGGGGGGGGGGGGGGTGAGAGAGGGAGGAGAGGAGGTGGGGGGGAGCCTAGCGCGGCGAGCCCCTCTTACTAACCCCCTAATTCCTCGCCCCCTTTCATCCACCCCCCTTGTCAACCTCACCCCCCTTGTCAACCGCCCCTGGAACCTCACGTCTTCCCCCCACCCTTCCTCCAACACCACCCCCTCACCCTCCCCCCCCCCCCCCCCCCCCCCTCCCCCCCACCCCAGGAGGGGCGACAGGAAGAGAGAGGAGGTGGGCTGGCGCATGCTGGTCATCCCTGCCACCCCCTCACCCTCCCCCCCACCCCACTGCAGTAGGAGTGGAGAGGTGGAGGGACGGCTGCTGGCGTGTCACACCCCCCACCCCCACACCCTCCCCCCACCCCTTTCACGGCTGCACCAGCAGCAGGGAGAGGGAGAAGGCTGGCGGCGGCGTAGCGCAGCAGCAGAGTGGCGTCAACCACCCCCGCCCCCCAACACCCTCCCCCCCCCCTGGTGCACGAGCAGCAGTGAGAAAGGGGAAAAATGGCGGGCGGGGGTGCAGCAGGCGGCTGCAGTTGCGCGTGTGGCTGCAGCTGCAGGTGACGCTGCAGTCGCGCGAGAGGCTGCTGCTGCGCGTGCGGCTGCAGCTGCGCAATTCGCTGCAGTCGCGTGCGCGACTGGTGACGTGCGTGCAGCTGCGCGTTCGCGGTTGCGTGCGTGCGGCTGTGCGCACTACGCACCGCTGGACGGGGACGGGACGGGCCGGGGCAGCGAGGGACGGACAGGCTGCGACGAGGGGGCCGAAACGGGGCCGCATCTGGCGCCATCGCGCAGCTCGCCGTCACGGGCAGCGTGACGGACGGAAGCTGCGCGACAGGCAGCACGAAGCGGGGATCGAATGGGGGCGAATGCGCAATGCAGGAGCGAGAAAATAACGGCGGTGGGCCCATGGACAACAGGTCTTAGGAGCTTAAGTGCTCTGAAACCATGTCAGAAGCCTAAGTTGACTTAGGACTTGGGTTGAGGGTAGAACGAGAGTTACGAGAGGAAGGGGTCGAGAGATTAGCCAAAAGAGATTGTTCACTATAGAGCGAGCAGTACAAATAGGCAAGAATCAAGAAAGGTGCACCACCAAACAAGAACATAGGGCTACACTAAGTCTACACTACAGGCAGTTATAGTAATGTATACAAGTACATTCTGACATCGACACACAACAGAAGCGTTCAAATTACTTGTTTCCAACACCCGTTACGATCGGGAACGCTTACATATTACCGTATTTACCGTAAATAAGGATAGCATTGGGGACAAGGAAACTTCTGAGTTCGGGTTTGCAATGCTGCACAAGCCCGAAAATGAAAGCATTTCTTATTTTTTATCACATCAATCTTGTCACAGGCACACTGTCACGATTATTGAAAACCAAAAGCCATCATACCATACCTAAAAGAACTGCTTGGTGATACCAGTACTGGCCGATGGGATCCTGTGTTGTGACAAATTGTTGAGCCCAAAGTCCAATTCGGGCTGCCCAATTGACTCATTCCCTCCCAACCCTAACCCCGGTTCACTCATCTGGTTAAAATGACCCGTCCCATCGCTAGACACCAGGCGGTTACCATGAGAAGGCACCATGTTTCCTGCATGCGCTGCAGCCCGTTCAAAGTTAACACCTGCGGCTGACACACTCATAGAAGCAGCGGCAGCAGCAGGGGACAGCACGCCTCTGGCAGCAAGTGCAGCGGCAGCGGCAGAACCAGGCACACGAGGGGAGGAAGAGGACGCAGCAAAGGGCAGCTGCTCCCTGCTCTGTGTACTGCCACCCAGCCCATGCAGCCTGCCTCCTCCTCTGCCCTCCCCAAACATGCCTTCTCCAGGGAAGAAACCCCCCCCTTGCAAACTGACAGTGCCAGACTGACCCGACACTGCCATACCCCCTGCCATGCTGCCTGCCATGCTGCCTGCCATACCCCCTGCCATGCCTCCTGCCATGCCTCCTGCCATGCCTCCTGCCATGCCTCCTGCCATGCCTCCTGCCATGCCTCCTGCCATGCCTCCTGCCATCCCCCCTGCCATGCCTCCTGCCATGCCTCCTCCCATACCCCTTGCCATACCCCCTGGCATACCTCCTTGCATGCCCCCTGCCATGCCCCCTGCCATGCTGCCAGCTACACCTGTCTGGCCGGAAATGCCCACACCATGGCTTGGCCTAGCAAGGCTATTGCCGCCACCAATGCCGCTGCTGCCGCTGCCGCCAACGCTGCTGCTGCCCCTGCCGCCAGCAATGGCTTCAAACTGCCCCGTGTTGAGGTTGAGAGCCTGAGCACCCCCACCAGGACGGCTCCCTGAAACAAAGTCAGGGCGCGTGGGAGCAGCAGCAGCAGCAGCAGCAGGCATGGAGCGAGGTACGGATTGACGAGTGCCAGCAGGCGCCGCCACATGCGGACTCAGACTGGCCGTGGCGGTACCAGCAGCTGCCGCCGCAGCGGCGGCAGCAGCAACAGCAGCAGCAGCAGTGGCAGCGAGAGAGGAGGCGGCAAGCGATGAGGCAGCCGCAGAAACAAGAGTCCCCCCCGCAACAGGACCCGGTTTCATCATCCCAGAGTGCGGCAGGAGCTGATGGGGAGGCTGTCTCAGGTCACTGGTGGCACGAGACATTGATCTGCTCCTCTCGAAGCCGCCAGCCACAGCATTCAAGGCAGCGGGCATGGCAGATTCCAGGGAGTTATCTCCCCGCATGGGAGCACCAACACCATGGTTGCCTGCATCTGCTGCTGCTGCTGCTGCTGCTGCTGCCCAGAAGCTGCCCGCCCTACTGCCTGCTGCTGCACCTGCTGCTGCTGCTGTGGTGGCGGTGGTGGCAGATGCACCTGTGGCGTCTGGCAAGGAGGATGGCGAGCGAGCCACGGCTTTGCTTCTGGGTACAATACCAGCTGGTCCTATTGGCCCTGCTGTTTCTGCTGCTGCTCCTCCACCCGCCGCTGCTGCCGCCACCACTGCTGCTGCCGCTGCTGCTATTGCTGCCTGTGGGAAGAGAGGCCATTCCTGACCAGGCAGCTGTTGACGCTGCTGCTGTTGCACCTGTTGTTGCTGGTGTTGCTGCTGCAGCAGGTGCTTCTGTGAGGGTTTGCGTTGTTGCAGCTGCTGCTGCTGCTGCTGCTGCTGCTGCTGCTGCTGCTGCAAGTGGTGCTGTTGCTGGTGCGGGTGCTGCTGCTGCTGTTGCTGTTGCTGCTGCTGTTGCTGCTGCTGTTGCTGGTGCTGCTGCTGCTGCTGTTGCTGTTGCTGTTGCTGCTGCTGGTGGTGCGGCAGCTGCTGCTGTTGCTGGTGCTGATGTTGTTGCTGCTGCTGAAACTGCTGTTGTTGCTGGTGCTGCTGTTGCTGCTGTTGCCGGTGCTGCTGTTGTAATTGCTGCTGGTGCTGCTGCTGCTGCTGCTGCTGCTGCTGCTTCTGTTGTAGTAGTTGCTGCTGCTGCTGCTGCCCCTGCACTGGCAGCTTGGACAGTGAAGACAGCTGAGGAGCCAACTTCTGCAGTTGCTGCTGCTGCTGTGCTGGCAGCAGCTTCACATGAGCCGGCACACCCTGCTTATCCAACCCGCCAACCCCCCTCTGCACCTCCCCTTGCTGACTCAACCCCACCACCTGCCCTTGCTGCTCCTTCTCTCCACTCTTCCTCCCAAACCCCCCACCCCTCTCCCTCCTCACACCCTCCTCTCCACCCCTCCCACCCTCAACCCCCCCAATCGTACCAACCACCGCACTCAACTCCCTCTCCGCCAACCCACCCACCCCCCCTTCCCCACCACCACCCCCATCCCCAGCCACACCCTCCCCAACAACCCCATCCGCACCAGCAGCAGCACCATCCCCTGCGTCACCCTCTCCCCCCGCGCCGCCCTTCTTGCGGCCCCACTGGCGCGTGGAGACGGTGCCGTCGGGCAGGAAGTCGTGTGCCACGCGGTGGCGGTGCAGGTAGCGCCACATCTTGCGGTCAGCTAGATACTTGACGCACGGGTCGCGCTCGTAGTGCAGGCGGTCCATGGCGCCACTCACTATCTGGTTCACCTGGGGGTGGGGGTGGGGAGGGGAAGCAAGCGGGAAACAAAAACGGGGGAAACGGGCAGAGGGGGTGCGGGCGGATGAGGGGGTGGGGGGAAGGGGGGGGAAGGGGGGGGAGAGATAGAGACAGTGGCAGGCAAAGAATAGTGATCATTCTTGCTCACACACACGCCACGCTCGTGCTGATCTGCCTGCCTGCCTACCTGCCCGCCTGCCTGCCTGCATGCGTGTGTCAGCGCGTGCTCCACCCCCCTACACCCCCCCCCCCCTCTGCTCCACTCTCTACCTGTGCCTCAGGGGACTCGGCCACAAAGTACTGCGAGTCCCTTAGCAGCGTGCACACGTCCGCGCGGGTCCCAATCCCGTTGGGCAGCCGCGCCGCCGCATCCCTCACAAGCGACAGGATCGTCACGTGCGGGGGCCGCTCCAGTTTGAGCATGGCGTGGTCGCGCGCTTTAGCTACCGCCTTGGCGCCGTGGCGCACGACGGGCGCCACCATGGCCTTGCCGCCGTCCGTGGCGGTGTAGCGGAAGGCGTGGCAGGGGATCTCGTACCGCAGCCGCTCCTCGCACTGGAACAGCGCCCGCATGTGCGCCGATGCCGGCGCGAGAGTCACCTGCGGAGCGGGACGCGGGGTGGGTGGGGGTGGGGCGGGTGGGGGGAAGGGGGAATGCACGGGAGGCGCAGGTGGGAGGGGGAAAAGAAGAGAAATGAGATGTGATGTGGAATGGAAGGTTGGAGTGCTGCATGGAAGAGGCGAGCACAAGGCGCACAAGGCCCACAGCACACCTGGCTCTTGAGTTGGCTGAACGGGGCGCGCGGCTCGTTGACCAGCGAGCGCGAGAGTGCGGGCAGGTGCGGCGAGTCGTCGCCGTCCTTGGGCGCCGCGCGCGCGCCTTCTCCCCCACCTCCCGCCACTGCGCCGCTCACACCACTGCTCTCCTCCGCCTTCCCCACCACCGCCCGCCCCTTCCCCTCCGCAGGCGCGGATGGCGCATCAGCAGGAGGAACACCCGCACCCGCACCACCCACACCACCACCCGCGCCCGCAGCACCAGCAGCAGAGTCTTTCGCAGGGGCGGCAGCGGCGTCAGGCAGCGGGAGCGGCAGCGAGCCGGCATCCTGCAGCATCTTCACGAACCGCTCCTCCAGCCGACTAAGCCCCTTCTCCGCGATTCCCCAGCTCAGCGGGTCCGCGTTCACCGGGCGGCTCGGATCCATGGCGTCCGTCACCGCGCCGCACCACGCCCACTCCGACCCCTGTCGCCGCGACTGCACGAACGGCTTCCACAGCCGCGTGCCGGGCGGCGCCTTGGTTTGGAGCACCTTGAGCGCCGTGATTACGAGCTCGCCGAACCGCAGCGACAGGCGCAGCGCGCGCGGGTCGCCCGGGCGCTCGCGCACGCGCTGCACGATGTCGGCGGAATGCATCCACGCGAACGTCGCCTCGTCGCCGCTGATCCCGCCGCCCTCCCCGCGGCTCTGCATCAGCACGTCGCGCGCCGCCGCTAACAGCGCGCGGATGGAGAACCCGATGTCCGCCGCCGCCCCCTCGGGCTGACTCGGCTGACTGGGCTGGCTGATTTGACTCGGTTGACTGAGCTGACTCGCGTGATTGAACTCGCTTCCCGCCGCAATCTGCGCATCCAAAGGCTTTTCATCAAACGCGGCTCTCTTCGCGGCGCGTCCGCTGTCGTCGCAGCGTGAAGCCATGCCCGCTTCGGCGTCCGGTTCCGGTTCCTTCCGCTTCGCGCCGTCTGCCGCGAGCTGCGACTCCGACCCGCTCTTCGCGAGCCGCGCGCGGCCCGCCGCCGACAGCCCGCCGTGCGCTTTAACATCGCGCCAGAGCTGCAGGCGCTGCGGGAGGTCGGCGTCGGGCAGCTGCTGCCAGACGGCGCGCATGTCCCGCAGCCCGCGCGCCATGTCGTCGTGATAGCGGCGCACGTCGTGGTAGTGCTGCTTGCGCTGCAGCACGCGCACGCTGCGCGCGAGCAGCTCGACGGCGGGGTGGAACTTCCCCGCCGTCAGCTTCCCCCAGAACGCCTGCACGGGACTGCCGAAGTGGAACGCGGAGTTCTCAAACAGATGCTCGAGAAGCTCCGACGGATCCGCGCGCTCCGACGACGGCAGGAAGCGCGCGAGGCGCTCGCGGTCGTCATCGTCAAGCACGTTGTACCACGTGTCGAGCGATAGGAGCGAGCTGGGGTCGTCTAGAGTGAATACCTCCGACGGAAGCTCGATCACCTGCGTGCCCACCAGGCACGGCTCCGTCGCCGAAGGCTCTTCCGCAGCCGTCGCGTCAATCGCGGGAAGCGCCGGAGGTGCCATGATAAGATCTCTTTTTAATTCAGGGGTGCGCCGAGACGTTACGGCGTTGGCCATGGCGGTTGTTTAGGCTTCATTCAGAGTGAAAAGGTAGTGGGATGACTGCTGTGGGGTTAGGAGGCGATCATCTGCAAAGAACCCTAAATAGTAGGCTCAGATGTACAGTACAGTGATTAGGTCAGTGCGTGTCGAGTTCAGGAAGAAACTCGGATTGACTCGGCCTGGGTCAGACCCAGGCTCGAGGTTAGTTAGCTCCCAAACCTGGTTGCCCTAGACACGGGGTTCCCTAACCGGAGCATGACTCTCGGCTAGGTCCAAACCTGAAGCTTGACCTCTGTGCAGGCCTTCCTGCTTGGGACAACGTAAAAACTACTGTACGTGAATATTAGGTATTAAAATTTAGCCACGAAATGAGTTTGCTAATATCAAGGATTTTCAGCTGCTATTCCTTGTCTGACGCGCATATTCTCCTTGTTCTAAACGCCGGCTCGTTCTTTCGAACATCACTGCTAGTTGAAGGACGCATGGTCTACTACAAACGAGGACGCATGGTCCAGCAAAGCACCTGACACACAACCCCCCATATCCCCCTCCCCCTCACCCTCCCATCCCATCCCCATCCCGTTGCGCACACAGCAGCATCGCCGCGTCACCCACCGACCAAACCGAAGCAGAGCAAACCACTCCTCCCCTTACCTCCCCCCCTCCCCTCCGTCCCTCTTCCCCCCACGCTCTCCCCAAGCATGACCAGTACATTAGTGTACTGTATATCCACTGGAGGAGGCTCTATTGTTTCTCGACGCGACTCGCGTCGAGACCAGCAACTCTGCGACACTGTACTGTACAGTATGCACGCGGCTGCTGCTTCTTGGTTGGGGTGAGCGAAACAACACCTTCAAGCTCCAAAGAACGTGGTCGTGGCGTGCGATCCCAGGAGCTGCAGAAACGCGTCTTACGCCGTCTCCTGCTGTACTCCCACTCACTCGTAGAGAGCTTACACGTCGCTTACCTTGAAGTGATCATTGTCACAGCAAGAATATAAGGGACGGAGCATCATCCCGCAAGCACCGTTCAAACGAACGAGTAACGTTAAATCTCTAACACGTTAAGCGCGAATCAAAGCGTGAGAGAACGATAACCGGCTTCGGCCTCCCTCGCAACCCTGGCCGTAGCGGCAGCGCCAGCATCCCGATGGTGCAACGACTCCCATTCCCAGTGGTAGCGCACAGGACGAGGCTCGGCGGATGGATCGTGACGAGACCCACTGTGGCGGCACGGGTGTCTGCGCGATTGGCGGTAGTGATGCTGCTGCTGGTAGTACTAGCCGTGGCGGTGGTGGTGGTGGCGGGGGCGGATGCAGCAGCGGACGCGGCGGCGGCGGGTGCACGTAAATGTAATCCTCGTTTCTCGCCCACTCGTTACGACCATTGGAAGATCATGGAATGCGTTCATTGCCGCCTCGCTCTCATGCCATTCCTTAACATGCCCCACCAACCATCGCTCTCTCCCTCCTTCTCGCCCGCCTCCCCACACCAATCCTCATTTTCACGCGCTAACCTCACTCACACCCCTTTCTCACGCCCCTTCCGCACACACCTTCCCTTCGTCGCTCCGCCCTGCGCCCTGCAGCGTCCCCCAATCGTCCCCGCGCGCGCACATCATCCGCGGGCCTCCCCGCAGCACCCGCGCGCGCAGCAGCGTCGCCCCTGCCGCGCGCGCTCTACATCGTCCAGCTCCGCTCCGCGCCCCCCATTGCCGCCTATCACGGCGGCATACCCGGATTCCCCGCCACTGCTGTCCTCCAACCCACCGAATCTAGCACCCCATCAGCCCCTCCCGCCTCCTCTTCCGCCTCCTCCGCCTCCTCCGCGGCGTCAGCAGGCCCCATCCCAATATCAACCGCTTCGCACCGCTCTGCTTTTCGGCGGCGCGCGCGCATCAACTCGCGCCTGCCGGCAGTGCGCGCGTTCCAGCGCATGCTGCGGCGCCAGCAGCGCCAAGTGGCTACTGACGTGCGCGTTCGCTTGAAGCACGTCGTCTACAGCTACACGCACGTGGCGAACGGGTTCGCGGCGGCGCTGACGGCGGGGGAGGCGCGGCGGATGCGGCGCCACCCCGCCGTGGGCAGCGTGATGCGCAGCGGGCGCTTCCGCCTGCTCACGACCGCGTCGCCCGCGTTCCTGCAGCTGCCGCCGTCGCTGTGGGCCGCGGCGGGCGGGCAGAGCAGCGCGGGAGAGGACGTGGTGGTGGGCGTCGTGGACACCGGCATCTGGCCCGAACACACCTCGTTCGCTGATGATGTATGTTCCTGCACGCACGCACCCTGCAGGGATTTTTTTTTTAAATCCCTCACTCGCACACACCCTTGCCCTTCTCTTCCTCACCCTCCCCATCCACCCTTGTCTCCCTTACAATACCCCTCCTCCCACTTCCCCCCCTCCCAGGGCTTTCTCTCGCCTTCTCGCGACACGCTTCCCCCCTCGTGTTTCCGCTGTATCCCATTGCCCCCAGAGTAGCCCCGTTCCCCCTGACCTCAACCCAGGGCAACTGCACCTTTCTGCTACTTGCAACCCGGCACCCACGCACGCACGCCCTGTCCCCGCCTAGACCCTTCCCCCTTCCTCCGCCACCTCTCTTCCCGCGCCACCACTCCCCGCCCTTCCTCCCAGGGCTCATACTCCTCCCCGCCCACGGCCCGCCGCATGGGTGGGCGAGTGCGAGGAGACTGACGGACGACTTTCCCTTGGCGGCGTGCAGTGCAGCAACAAGGTGGTGGGCGCGCCCTGCTGCACACGCACACCATGTCCCTGCCTGTCTTTTGACACGTCTCAAAACGCACACGCACACCATGTCCCTACCCTGCCAGTATTGCTTCCCGCCGCCTAAACGCGCCACATCTCCCCCCGCTACCTCTCTCTCCCCACCTCTCCCCTCCGCCCCAGGGCTCGTACTCCCCCCCGCCCGCCACGTGGGTGGGCGCGTGCGAGGAGACGGACGATTTCCCCGTGACGGCGTGCAGCAACAAGGTGGTGGGCGCGCGGTGGTTCATAGCGGGCATGCAGAAGGAGAGCAAGGGGCAGGTCGAGATGTTTGGCGACTACCTGTCGCCAAGGGACGCCCAGGGCCATGGCACGTGGTGTGCGGGGTGCGTGCGAGAAGGGGGGGTGTGGTAGGGGAGAGGGGGAAGTGGGGGTAGAGGGGATTGGGGAGAGGGTATGCGCAGGGCCATGACACGCGGTGTGCTGGGTGAGTGCGAGGGGGGAAGGGGAAGCGGGGAGGGGGGAGGGGTGGAAGGGGGAGGGGGGGAGGGAGGGAGAGGGAAATGGGGGAGATGTGTAAAGGGCATGTGGGGGGTTGGGTGAGGGCACGTGGTGCGAGTGGGTGGGTGAGGGTGTGATGTGCGGAGAAAGCTGGGGATGAAGGAGTGGGGGGAAAGTGGGGGGAATGCATGTACGGAGAGAGTGTGGGGAGCGTGATGGTGAAAAGCGGAGGAGCCAAGGGTGTGTGGCTGCAATATGCTGATCAGGAAAGGGGGTAGAGAGAAGGAGGCTGGGCTGGGGGTTGGGTTGTCGCAGGGGAAGGGGGTTTGTACGAACGACGTGGTGTGGAAGGGGAACACGGAAGGGGAACACGGAAGGGGAACACGGAAGGGGAACACGGAAGGGGAACACGGAAGGGGAACACGGAAGGGGAACACGGAAGGGGAACACGGAAGGGGAACACGGAAGGGGAACACGGAAGGGGAACACGGAAGGGGAACACGGAAGGGGAAAGGGGGGAGGGGAGGGGAGAACATAGCATGTGTGGTAGTGGAGAAGGAAGGATGGGATTCGCCAGTCAGTCCGCACCCACCGCATCTACTCGCGCCGCACCCATTGACACTCCCCTCTTCTCTCCACCCCATCCTCCCTTCTCTTCTCTCCCTCCCTCCCCTCCTTGCCCCACGCGCTCCAATCATCCCTAATCCCCACATGCCTTTCAACGAATGAGGCACCTCGAATCGAAGTCTTGCTTTTCCCACACCATCACTTTCTTGACACCCATCCTCACCCTCTTCTCTCCCCAAGCTCCCGTCCAATCCAACTCCGAGTGGCGGGGGTGGGGGATGAGGCCGCTTCTTTCTACCGCTGCGGGCCCACCTAGCACTGTGGGTGGCTGGCTCGTGCCGTGCTGTGTGCGTGTATAGCAGCAGCAGCAGCAGCAGCAGCACGCAGCCACGTGTGGGCCGTCACAGAGGGCATGAGCTCATTGCTGAAAGCACTAGACTGCACTTACTCTGCCCAACCCCACGTACCTCCCAACCCAACCCCTTCCCATTCCCCCCCACCCAACTTCGCCCCTCCACACCCCTCCGCGCCTCCCCTCCCCTCTCCTCCCCTGCCCTCCCCACAGGGCAACAGCAGGGGCGGCGGGGGTGCCTCTGGGCGACACGGGGGAGACAGCAAGCGGCATGGCGCTGTGTGCACGCATTGCTGCCTACAAGGTGTTTTGGCGCAGCAGGGGGCAGGTGTGGGCGACAGAGGCAGACATAGCAGCAGCGGTGAATTCACTGCACAGCACTTACCCCACCTGCCTCCACTTCCCTTTCAACCCCTCCCCTCTCACCCCTCTCCTCCCATTCCCACCCATCCCCTTCCCCCCTCCCAACCTCGCCCCTCCACAACCCCCCCCCTTCCTTCCCTTTACTCCCCACAGGGCAGCAGCAGGGGCGGCGGGGGTGCCTCTGGGCGACACGGGGGAGACAGCAAGCGGCATGGCGCCCCGTGCACGAATCGCCGCCTACAAGGTGTTTTGGCGCAGCAGGGGGCAGGTGTGGGCGACGGAGGCGGACATAGCAGCGGCGGTGAATGCGGCGGTGGCGGACGGAGTGGACGTGCTGAGCCTGTCGCTGGGCAGCCTCGAGGCATCCCGGACCTACTTCCACGATGCTGTGTTCCTCAATGCGCTTGCGGTCAGTGGCTTAAGGAAGGGGCAAGGTCGGGGCGGGGCAGGTGGAGGCGGTTCATGGCGCTGGGCAGCCTGGAGGCGTCCCGAATGTGCTCCCATAATGCGCTGGGCAGCCTGGAGGCGTCCCGAATGTGCTCCCATAATGCGCTGGGCAGCCTGGAGGCGTCCCGAATGTGCTCCCATAATGCGCTGGGCAGCCTGGAGGCGTCCCGAATGTGCTCCCATAATGCGCTGGGCAGCCTGGAGGCGTCCCGAATGTGCTCCCATAATGCGCTGGGCAGCCTGGAGGCGTCCCGAATGTGCTCCCATAATGCGCTGGGCAGCCTGGAGGCGTCCCGAATGTGCTCCCATAATGCGCTGGGCAGCCTGGAGGCGTCCCGAATGTGCTCCCATAATGCGCTGGGCAGCCTGGAGGCGTCCCGAATGTGCTCCCATAATGCGCTGGGCAGCCTGGAGGCGTCCCGAATGTGCTCCCATAATGCGCTGGGCAGCCTGGAGGCGTCCCGAATGTGCTCCCATAATGCGCTGGGCAGCCTGGAGGCGTCCCGAATGTGCTCCCATAATGCGCTGGGCAGCCTGGAGGCGTCCCGAATGTGCTCCCATAATGCGCTGGGCAGCCTGGAGGCGTCCCGAATGTGCTCCCATAATGCGCTGGGCAGCCTGGAGGCGTCCCGAATGTGCTCCCATAATGCGCTGGGCAGCCTGGAGGCGTCCCGAATGTGCTCCCATAATGCGCTGGGCAGCCTGGAGGCGTCCCGAATGTGCTCCCATAATGCGCTGGGCAGCCTGGAGGCGTCCCGAATGTGCTCCCATAATGCGCTGGGCAGCCTGGAGGCGTCCCGAATGTGCTCCCATAATGCGCTGGGCAGCCTGGAGGCGTCCCGAATGTGCTCCCATAATGCGCTGGGCAGCCTGGAGGCGTCCCGAATGTGCTCCCATAATGCGCTGGGCAGCCTGGAGGCGTCCCGAATGTGCTCCCATAATGCGCTGGGCAGCCTGGAGGCGTCCCGAATGTGCTCCCATAATGCGCTGGGCAGCCTGGAGGCGTCCCGAATGTGCTCCCATAATGCGCTGGGCAGCCTGGAGGCGTCCCGAATGTGCTCCCATAATGCGCTGGGCAGCCTGGAGGCGTCCCGAATGTGCTCCCATAATGCGCTGGGCAGCCTGGAGGCGTCCCGAATGTGCTCCCATAATGCGCTGGGCAGCCTGGAGGCGTCCCGAATGTGCTCCCATAATGCGCTGGGCAGCCTGGAGGCGTCCCGAATGTGCTCCCATAATGCGCTGGGCAGCCTGGAGGCGTCCCGAATGTGCTCCCATAATGCGCTGGGCAGCCTGGAGGCGTCCCGAATGTGCTCCCATAATGCGCTGGGCAGCCTGGAGGCGTCCCGAATGTGCTCCCATAATGCGCTGGGCAGCCTGGAGGCGTCCCGAATGTGCTCCCATAATGCGCTGGGCAGCCTGGAGGCGTCCCGAATGTGCTCCCATAATGCGCTGGGCAGCCTGGAGGCGTCCCGAATGTGCTCCCATAATGCGCTGGGCAGCCTGGAGGCGTCCCGAATGTGCTCCCATAATGCGCTGGGCAGCCTGGAGGCGTCCCGAATGTGCTCCCATAATGCGCTGGGCAGCCTGGAGGCGTCCCGAATGTGCTCCCATAATGCGCTGGGCAGCCTGGAGGCGTCCCGAATGTGCTCCCATAATGCGCTGGGCAGCCTGGAGGCGTCCCGAATGTGCTCCCATAATGCGCTGGGCAGCCTGGAGGCGTCCCGAATGTGCTCCCATAATGCGCTGGGCAGCCTGGAGGCGTCCCGAATGTGCTCCCATAATGCGCTGGGCAGCCTGGAGGCGTCCCGAATGTGCTCCCATAATGCGCTGGGCAGCCTGGAGGCGTCCCGAATGTGCTCCCATAATGCGCTGGGCAGCCTGGAGGCGTCCCGAATGTGCTCCCATAATGCGCTGGGCAGCCTGGAGGCGTCCCGAATGTGCTCCCATAATGCGCTGGGCAGCCTGGAGGCGTCCCGAATGTGCTCCCATAATGCGCTGGGCAGCCTGGAGGCGTCCCGAATGTGCTCCCATAATGCGCTGGGCAGCCTGGAGGCGTCCCGAATGTGCTCCCATAATGCGCTGGGCAGCCTGGAGGCGTCCCGAATGTGCTCCCATAATGCGCTGGGCAGCCTGGAGGCGTCCCGAATGTGCTCCCATAATGCGCTGGGCAGCCTGGAGGCGTCCCGAATGTGCTCCCATAATGCGCTGGGCAGCCTGGAGGCGTCCCGAATGTGCTCCCATAATGCGCTGGGCAGCCTGGAGGCGTCCCGAATGTGCTCCCATAATGCGCTGGGCAGCCTGGAGGCGTCCCGAATGTGCTCCCATAATGCGCTGGGCAGCCTGGAGGCGTCCCGAATGTGCTCCCATAATGCGCTGGGCAGCCTGGAGGCGTCCCGAATGTGCTCCCATAATGCGCTGGGCAGCCTGGAGGCGTCCCGAATGTGCTCCCATAATGCGCTGGGCAGCCTGGAGGCGTCCCGAATGTGCTCCCATAATGCGCTGGGCAGCCTGGAGGCGTCCCGAATGTGCTCCCATAATGCGCTGGGCAGCCTGGAGGCGTCCCGAATGTGCTCCCATAATGCGCTGGGCAGCCTGGAGGCGTCCCGAATGTGCTCCCATAATGCGCTGGGCAGCCTGGAGGCGTCCCGAATGTGCTCCCATAATGCGCTGGGCAGCCTGGAGGCGTCCCGAATGTGCTCCCATAATGCGCTGGGCAGCCTGGAGGCGTCCCGAATGTGCTCCCATAATGCGCTGGGCAGCCTGGAGGCGTCCCGAATGTGCTCCCATAATGCGCTGGGCAGCCTGGAGGCGTCCCGAATGTGCTCCCATAATGCGCTGGGCAGCCTGGAGGCGTCCCGAATGTGCTCCCATAATGCGCTGGGCAGCCTGGAGGCGTCCCGAATGTGCTCCCATAATGCGCTGGGCAGCCTGGAGGCGTCCCGAATGTGCTCCCATAATGCGCTGGGCAGCCTGGAGGCGTCCCGAATGTGCTCCCATAATGCGCTGGGCAGCCTGGAGGCGTCCCGAATGTGCTCCCATAATGCGCTGGGCAGCCTGGAGGCGTCCCGAATGTGCTCCCATAATGCGCTGGGCAGCCTGGAGGCGTCCCGAATGTGCTCCCATAATGCGCTGGGCAGCCTGGAGGCGTCCCGAATGTGCTCCCATAATGCGCTGGGCAGCCTGGAGGCGTCCCGAATGTGCTCCCATAATGCGCTGGGCAGCCTGGAGGCGTCCCGAATGTGCTCCCATAATGCGCTGGGCAGCCTGGAGGCGTCCCGAATGTGCTCCCATAATGCGCTGGGCAGCCTGGAGGCGTCCCGAATGTGCTCCCATAATGCGCTGGGCAGCCTGGAGGCGTCCCGAATGTGCTCCCATAATGCGCTGGGCAGCCTGGAGGCGTCCCGAATGTGCTCCCATAATGCGCTGGGCAGCCTGGAGGCGTCCCGAATGTGCTCCCATAATGCGCTGGGCAGCCTGGAGGCGTCCCGAATGTGCTCCCATAATGCGCTGGGCAGCCTGGAGGCGTCCCGAATGTGCTCCCATAATGCGCTGGGCAGCCTGGAGGCGTCCCGAATGTGCTCCCATAATGCGCTGGGCAGCCTGGAGGCGTCCCGAATGTGCTCCCATAATGCGCTGGGCAGCCTGGAGGCGTCCCGAATGTGCTCCCATAATGCGCTGGGCAGCCTGGAGGCGTCCCGAATGTGCTCCCATAATGCGCTGGGCAGCCTGGAGGCGTCCCGAATGTGCTCCCATAATGCGCTGGGCAGCCTGGAGGCGTCCCGAATGTGCTCCCATAATGCGCTGGGCAGCCTGGAGGCGTCCCGAATGTGCTCCCATAATGCGCTGGGCAGCCTGGAGGCGTCCCGAATGTGCTCCCATAATGCGCTGGGCAGCCTGGAGGCGTCCCGAATGTGCTCCCATAATGCGCTGGGCAGCCTGGAGGCGTCCCGAATGTGCTCCCATAATGCGCTGGGCAGCCTGGAGGCGTCCCGAATGTGCTCCCATAATGCGCTGGGCAGCCTGGAGGCGTCCCGAATGTGCTCCCATAATGCGCTGGGCAGCCTGGAGGCGTCCCGAATGTGCTCCCATAATGCGCTGGGCAGCCTGGAGGCGTCCCGAATGTGCTCCCATAATGCGCTGGGCAGCCTGGAGGCGTCCCGAATGTGCTCCCATAATGCGCTGGGCAGCCTGGAGGCGTCCCGAATGTGCTCCCATAATGCGCTGGGCAGCCTGGAGGCGTCCCGAATGTGCTCCCATAATGCGCTGGGCAGCCTGGAGGCGTCCCGAATGTGCTCCCATAATGCGCTGGGCAGCCTGGAGGCGTCCCGAATGTGCTCCCATAATGCGCTGGGCAGCCTGGAGGCGTCCCGAATGTGCTCCCATAATGCGCTGGGCAGCCTGGAGGCGTCCCGAATGTGCTCCCATAATGCGCTGGGCAGCCTGGAGGCGTCCCGAATGTGCTCCCATAATGCGCTGGGCAGCCTGGAGGCGTCCCGAATGTGCTCCCATAATGCGCTGGGCAGCCTGGAGGCGTCCCGAATGTGCTCCCATAATGCGCTGGGCAGCCTGGAGGCGTCCCGAATGTGCTCCCATAATGCGCTGGGCAGCCTGGAGGCGTCCCGAATGTGCTCCCATAATGCGCTGGGCAGCCTGGAGGCGTCCCGAATGTGCTCCCATAATGCGCTGGGCAGCCTGGAGGCGTCCCGAATGTGCTCCCATAATGCGCTGGGCAGCCTGGAGGCGTCCCGAATGTGCTCCCATAATGCGCTGGGCAGCCTGGAGGCGTCCCGAATGTGCTCCCATAATGCGCTGGGCAGCCTGGAGGCGTCCCGAATGTGCTCCCATAATGCGCTGGGCAGCCTGGAGGCGTCCCGAATGTGCTCC